AACATTCATGATAAAACATTGTGATAACTTGTTTATTCGTGTACGGAAATACGTTTCCGAATGTCATACGCCCACTCGAATGAATCGAATGAAAAACCACGATTTTCTTATACGGATCCAATCCGTATGATTTTAAAAATAGGTCCCCATGTCAGAAAATGAACATAATAATAATATTTTAATGGTATAATAGATATAAATAGGGGTCAGAAAATTAAAATTTAATCAAATTATTTTTCCACACACACTATGTCGTGCAATGTGAACTGCGCGAACAGTCACCCAATCACGGCAATCATTTATCAAACAGAGGTTGTGTATAATAAAAACGTAATTTTAATAACTATATTACTCTATCAGTGAAAAAGATCAATTCGAAGTTCATAATTGGTTCAATCATTAAAAAAAAGTAAGACACCATGATGAAAATTTGATACCATGTGAAAAATTATATTTTTCTATTAACAGTTGACTTACAAAACGAGTGTTGTCGGTTATTGTTAAATGGATTACCCCTCTGCAGCGTAGTATTTACATTATAGGTAATATTATTATGTATGTCGCATATAGGGTGTACAAATGATCTAACATAATATTGAAATGTAATTGCATTGCGTATGCAATTATCAGATGTTTCAGATTCGCGATACGCCCTGTATATAATACATAACGTAATACGCGCGATAAGGGCGTTTACGAGTGGTACATATAATATAATAATATTATATTATATGAAGTTGTGTTCATATTATATTATACCGTTAGAGTTTCTGACGGATTTTTGATTCGAAATTCTGCGGCGCACAACAATGAACCGCAAATGGGAAATCGAGGACGCGACTCGGAAACCCTACGCCGTACGTGCAATATTACTTCGCGTACTTCACCGCAGTTTGTTTTTACATTATTATTATCATCGTCGCAGTTGTCATTTCGAAGAGGGCGCCGCGACATCCGATGTTTGTGGGGGGGGGGGGGCGGCGTGCCAGGAAATTAATCCGATTCAAGATTATGATAATGAAAACATCGGCGGCACGACGGATGTCACCGAACACGCTGCGGGCACACGTCAGTGGTGATAACACCCCTTACTGCCGCCCAATCTCGGGGGCCATTCAAAAACGATTTCACCCCAAGTGAATACGCACGACAGCGGTGAAGATTTTTACAAATGTTATGACCGCGAGTGCTTTGGCGTCGTCACATAATAATAATAATAATATATTATATTATATGCGCATCGTTGTCAACTACGACCACTGCAGCGCAACGGCCATCGGCATAATATATTATTAAATATTTTCTAAAACATATTATATTAAATAAGGCGAATCACCGAGCATGATCATCCCAATTGGTTCCTTTATATTAAGAATTTATTCAAATTCTGAATTTTGGAATTATCAAGTTTTGTTGTAAACTATTCTTTTATACAGGCATACCTAATTTTTTCATATACCGTCTAAGCCCTAATGAGTGCCTTATAGCACCTATATAAACTTCTTTTGTTGAAATGAGAACCATATTATTGTTTTTTATTTTTATGTTCAAGTAGGTATCATCTGAATCGAAATTCAAACAAATAATTTATGAATTGTTTAACTTTGTGTACCTCTTAAGAATGATATTGTACCATGGAAATATATAGGTTTAGAATAAAATATCATGATTTGAAAATTATGTAATAAATTATATTTTATATTTTTTTAAACTGTGTTAGTATAGAAGTGTACTTACTAGATTAAATAGGTATTAAATATTATATTTTATATTTTTTAAAAACCATTTTTAAAGACTATTATTCATAGTACCAACTTATATGCATACTCAGAAACTTCTAGTTTTAATTTTAATTTAGATAAATACATACACTATAAAAAAAAAATAATCGGTTTAACAATTTACAGGATAACAATATAGTTAGTTCTCATTTTTGTCAGGCGTGTCACCATAAAATACTGGCAACTGATCCGTTAAAATCTGTACCTACTAAATACGTAAGTAGGTACCTATATTATATAAAAGAGCGCTACAGCCGATGTGCTTTATGGATATATTTTTCACGCAATCCGTGCGCTAAGTCGCATTAAAATTTATTTTATTATATCGAAGATGTAGTTTTGTAGTTATTTTTTGGACAAGATCGACGTGATAATAATAACAATATAACAAGCTGAGTAGTTATATTATACAAACAAAAAGCTAAAATAAAAAACCATTTCCAATAAATATGTTTGTATTGTTAAAAAAAGTTTGATGCATCGACGAAAATATTTTAAATGTGCATGAGAGGCACTTGTGTATTAATAAATTACATTAAAATAAATTAACTTTATATTTTATACTGAAGTTACAATTGATTTTTTTGTAGGCTCAACTGGCTGAAAATATTATTATTTATTACTAGGTAAGCTCACGACATTTGAGAAACTCTTGATAATACGTTATCAATTATCATCGAATGAGTAGATAAGCTAAAATAGGTAAAACACTAACCAGCATATTTTTATTATGTTATCGATAAAGGGTATTAAATCCTGAATTCTTTAGAATTTATTGGTTTATATCAGACCTGCAAGAAAAGTGATATGGAAATTATATAGGGTTTTCACGGAAAAGAAATTTCAAGGAATTTTCAACTTAGTTATCCGTAATTTATCGACTGCACTAATATTGTAGTAGTGAATATCCAGTACTAATTGTACTTACAGAAAGCTAAGCATATTATTTAACTCGTGACTTCTGATACTATAGACCAACAATGAAGATCAGATGATTTTTAATTTGATTATTTTTAAATAAATCATTATTAAAGTTAATAAGTTATCCACCCTTGTTTGTATTTTGGTTTTTTTTTGCGATATTCGATATTTTTTCCAAGTAATAAGCATGTAAAAATATATAACAATTTAAAAATGCTCATATCAGTCATATATCGATATAAAATTGAAATTTCGTAAAAAAGCAAATAATGAACATAATTTTATGATTGATAATTGATAGTCCAATTCACTCTAAAGTTGGTACTGCTAAACACAAATTGACTATGTTGCGCAAGCGTAATGAGAGAGGAAAAACTAATGACATTCTTATAAGGGATTAGTTAGTGGTTACCTATATGTACATATAAAGTAAAAATTTACTAATCGTTTATCTTTTATGGTTTTCAATTTTTATGAAGTTATAATCAAAAAATTACTACCTACTATTAAATGTCAAAGTTTAACATTTTAAATATTAGTTAATTTTTTCAAATTATACTGTATTTGTTATAAATATGTTTTTATTCTAATTAAAATTATATATTATATAAGGTTAAATCTAAACTAATTAAATATTTTCATTAAAAAATATAATATGTGTTGTAAATTGTAATTAATACATTTCTAATTAACTACCTATAGATTTTTCGTAGACTAAAAAAAATTAAAAATAAATCTCGATATTAGTATAAAAATCATATAAAATTATTTTTTAACACTACATTCTGGTTTTTGGATTATATAACAAGCGGATGCAAACCAATTAAATTAAATTTTTTTCAGTAAAATATGAATATTTTATGGTTCAAAAAATAAGTGATGAAGCTTCTAAATTTAATAACAAATTCCACATCAACTGAAATGCAATGTTATGATATGTACTACTGGTACTAGGTATAAATAATGTGCTGTAGGTATATAATAATTATGCTTTGATCACAACTCGCAATATTAACAAATGTAAATGTTCATATTATTTCGAGAACATTGTTAAATTGCGTAGTTTCAAAGTTACAACTTACGACCACCAATAAAATGTAATATTAACTATTAAATTAGGGAATGCCTACATTTTAAGTACCTATATATGGCTATATTATAGTAGTAAAACATAACTAAAATACCTTCATAATTAGTTCATAAATGATATATATATATATATATTACACAGAGTTCTAATAAAAGCGACGAAATGAAAATGGAGAAGAGCATGGTAAGTACATTGGAAACTCCGTAAACTACTTACAAAATTACAATTAATTAACTTCTCAAAATTCTCAACAAAATGTCTACTTCGTAATATTAAATTAAATAAAAGTGATCTTTGAAATAAAATATTTCCAATGTTTTGGAATAAATTCAAATTATGTAAATAAAAATATTTTCAAAAACGTTAACACTTTTCAAGATGATGAGTGTATTCTATAGAAAAAAATCATCCTTCAGTATCTGTTATAGGTTCCTATATGTTTCCGGGACCTTTCGATAACAGACTTTCAATTTTTTGACGTCACATCAAAGTCAAAGTCAACAGCAGATATTATTTATAATATTATATTACACAAAATAGTTGATAGATACAAATTAAGTAAACATAATAATTTTACATAAAAATATAATATATTTAGTATTTAAGACTTTTATATTTCTTCCATCAACACCAGATTTAGTGTTTAAAGTGTTTCATCTTACGATACTATTCTATTTTACTTTATAAAATATGTATAAACGTGTTAAATGTTTCATTGTTAAATGCGCCAGTATAATGTACAATCAAACAATCTCATCGTTTACAATACTCCTGTATTAATGTTTAGGGATATTTGTAGGAAATCGATTGCTCTTTCGTGTGTTGAAAGCTGTCACGTACACCGGTCACAATGTGACGTGTAGAGCACCACTTGTTCTCGAAACACTAATATCAAGGGCGTTTTTGTCATCAGAACCATCACACCCCATCCCTCGATAAAGTTTGAAACCGTATATGACACATTGGAAACATATGTTTCTTCATAAGACCGTATATACATTTTGTATTAAATATAATATATTATATGTCATATGTATTTAATGTATGCGTCTAGAAACATAAAGTTTTATATACGAGTTCAAACCGCGGAGATACGCTTTTGACTTTGAACTTTTGAAAACCCTATACACTATAACTACGTGAACTCGTTCAAGTACCGGAAAAGTTTTTTAAGAAAACTGTCAATGAAAACCAAACAAGTTTCTTACCTGTTTTTACTTGATGCTTGAGTGTTAGACTACAATCGTCGATTAGATTTTGCAACGGCACACCTTCGTCGGGAATATCCAATTTCAGCAGTCGTAACATCTCTTCGGGGTGCTTAAAATGCAATACTTTTTCGTCTCTGTCGTTAACGTCATTGATGTAATCTACTAAGATATCAACGACTTTTAACAGAAACTCTCTGGTTGGAGCTTGTCCGGATAAATTATGAGGCAATAAATCTGCAAAAATAAGAAAAAAATTGTACACATTTGTAAATCTTGTGAAATTCAATAAAATAAAATCTATATTTAAAAGATACCTTCAACTGATGTATACAATATACATACTTATAGAAGTTTAAAAAAATTATATATTTATCATAAAGGATTTTAACGGGATGAGTTATAGACATTATAAACTTAATAATAACTTAATGTCTTAATCGATTGAAGCATACAAATATTATTAGAACAAAATATTGGTCATTTGTATTTAAATTAAAAATTATAAATTATAATTAACCAAATTGTATGCGCATACAACACAACAATATTATTTGACACGATTCATAGTGACTGGGTAGTAGTTAACTATAGTAATAATAATAATAATAATTTTATAATATATGTTAAGCAACCATATAATATTATCAACTTTTTTTTCCGTTTTGAGTCAAACATCGAAATCTGTGATATACCTATTCAAATAATGCCATAGTTCAAATTAATATCAAATATTATATTGTATTATTTATGGTTTATATTATTATTAGTGTATGACGTTATTGTTGTTTTCCGTCGTCGCCACTATATTATTACACGACGTGTACTACAGCAGAAACATCATTGGATTTTCGTAAACAATTATTTCACCAAGAACGGCTATACAATAGAACCCACTTTGGCCTGGGCTTATGGGTCTAAATCCAATAATCCATGTCATTTTTGCCGGTATTGTGTCGAGCAAAAATCAACGACGTACGCCGGATATTAAAATGTGTGACCAACCGTAAAATAGGAATCTTTCATCCCCCATTTGTTGCGGGAAACATGTAACGGTTTTCTTTTTTTATTATTATTGTATATATAGGTTTTTTCCGTCTTTCAAAAGGCTAATTGAATCGACCCGACCACCGATGACTAAGTTATTGTTGATAATCGGAAATAACTCATGCCAGCAAGGTAGAGTGCGTCTCAATGGATTCCGATACGCGTATGTAATAGTAATCAAGTTATTTGGATATCGAATTGTATGTGCAAGGAAAGCATCAAGATCCGACGGAAAAGCTTTTCACTTGAAACCACAAGCTTTAGTCGACCGTGTTACAAACAACATTCAACCCGACGAAGTGGTTATACTTAAGAATATTGTGATTACGATTTATGGGCTTCAATTTATTAGTCGTCGTTAGAGTAATATTATATTGTAATGCTGTTTAAAATGAAGATAATTTTTTCCAAAACCGTCATGTCTTGGGCGCAGTAAGTTGAGCTGTGTAATGCTTAGTAATTCAGTATATATATATTATATATATATATATATATATATATACGTATATATTATATATGTACATTATACGTACAGTATTCTGATTTCTGACTTAGGTACTATAGTTAAAACGAATTCGAGAACGTCTAAACTCCAAAGTAATTATACTACATTATAGAATGAAATAATTGTCAACGACAAACGCAGCTGCGGGTTTAAGCGCGAATTGTGTATTTGAGCGTTAATATAACAACAACTGTGCTAGACAATATTCGTCGGTCTGTTTATATTGCATTGTATAATAATGGAGAAGATTCATAAATATTTATCATATTCGCGCTGTGTTAGCTGTCAGGACTCAACAACATTTCTTGAATACAAACTATATTATCCGAACAAAACAGTGTTTGTAAATGCAGCGTTGACAATTAAATTACACAGTTATTTGCATACGTCTAGGTGTTTGCTCGAGTGTCGGAGTGTGTGAATATAAAGTTGATTTTACTAAAAAAACTGATTTTAAATTAAAAACAGTAATAAACGTGTGAAAAAAACCTTTTAGGAAAAATATAATTTAGCTGCCTTGAAAATGCTTTCATCGTGTGCATTTGTTTTCGTGCACATTATCTTAGTGTAATATATATATATAGGCACAGCGAGGATAATTGAGTTTCTTTTCTCTGTTTGCACTAATATTTATAACTATACATTTGTTAAAATAAGACACAAATTACAATTAGCCGTAATTTAATTTCAGTACAATGGGCATTGCGTTGTTTTACTTTTATAGTTATGGTGAAAACTGTTTGAATGCAATTCTCTGTGGTCGTATGAAATAATATAATAGGCAGTTTAATTCAGAAATATTTTGGAAATCATAGTGCGTCTGTGATAAGAGATTATTCGTAAGTTGGATGAAAAGCGAAGGAGTTCGCTAATTAAAATATATTATTATAGGATTGTTAGTAAAGGTATTCACTAGTTTAATATCTATAATTATAATCTTTTGGGTACTATACAATATTCAATGCATATAGGTACGCTCATTACTCATACGAGATATATTATGAGTATTCATAATATTTACTATGTAGCACATAATTTACAAAATGTAATTAAGAACTGTTACTATTATATTTGATTAGCGAACGAACAGTTTAACATCGATATTATTTTCTGTTTTACATATTTTATAACGCGTACCAAGCTTAACAATTTAATGTAGTCCATAGACCTATTGGATAATATGTAATAAAGTCAATTTTAATACATAATAAGGATAGGTAGATGTGTAGTAGGTAGGTATTGTACATTTGTACCTATTATGTTAATAGGTACCTATAATAGTATCATAACCATGATTAAGACTTATAAAATCATAAAAAAGTTTTAAGTTAACTTCATCATAAAAACTTAAGTCGAAAAAATATAATTATAAAGATATACCAATCTCAAAAGTGCCCCTCCTCGAATTCCATAAAAAAAAAATAAATGTTCGTACCTACCTACATTTTTTAGATTCTGAGTGAAACGATGAATGTATTGATTTTACAATGATGTGTGTTTTTTTATTTTTGTGTCTGTGTACACGATAAGTAGTCGAAATAATGCTTCGATTTTCGACTTCAGTATCTTGTTCGATTGGAGAGTGAATATCGTTGGTGCATTGGGGAGGTCAAAATTTAAAATTCCTAATAGTTTTCACAAGTGCCGGGAAAAAACAACATAAAAATGAAGGAAAAACGGGAATTTTTACGCAAAATAGGTTTTTGACAAAATCGAATTTGGTTTTTGGTGTAACTTTAAAACAAATGACTGTAGGAACATGAAATTTTGACTGATTGTTTATATTTGCCTTTTCTATACACGATAACATTTTCAAAATATTTTGATTTATTATGAACTGTTTAGGGACATTTTCATTTTCCATTTTTTATTAGTTTTTTTTCTAAAAATATCAATAAAACTTTGTTTGTTGAGTAGAAATACTTGAAAATTTAATACAAGGTTCCTACTATATTGTTTCAAAGGCAGATGAAAAATATTAAAAATCGTTAGTCACAGTTTTTTTTTATAAACATTTAAAGTTCAAAAATTGACAAATCACGAAAATTAGAAAATTATTTTGAGTTAAGTATTCGTAAAAATTTTTCTTTTTAAATCTAAGATTTGAAAATGTAATACAAGATTACTCATAAGTTTGTCTACCTTTATCAATAAAAAAATCTCTACCGGACAGTCAAATTAAATTTTTATGAGCGTTTGAAATTCAAATTTTTACAACATTGGATGTTCACTCGATTTCTCATGTAGCGATTTCCTTATTTTATTGTTATTCATAAACGAATAACTATAGATACATGAAAATTTCACTGAATGTTTGTATAAGCATTTCCTATACACCATACAATTTTGAAAATATTTTGACTCTTTTTGAGCTGTTTACGGATATTTTCATTTTTAAATTTTTTTAGTTTTTTTTTCTATGAATATCAATAAAGTTTTATCTGTTGGGCCAAAAAGTGTAAAAATTTAATACAAGGCTCCTGATATATTGTTACAATATCAGTTGAAAAATATTAAAAATACATAGGCACAGTTTTTTTTTATAAGCATTTAAACATCGAATTTTAACAGAATTTTTCAAAATCTCGAAAATTATTAATCATCGTAATTAATACGTTATAAAATAATCAGTTTTTATAGCTAAGGATTGAAAATTTAAAACAAGATTCCACGTAAGTAGTTAATTCTTTTACCAAAAAATCTAAAAAATATACAATCACAGTTTATTTTTATAGTCATTTTATGTTCAAATTTGGACGAAATTACACATAAAAAAACCTAGTTATTTTGTTGTGATTATATAATATTATTCATGGGTACCTACTTGAAACTTCTAAAGTTTACTATTATATATCAATGATAGTATCAGGATTTGTTATTGATGTTGATGTATAACGTGTTAAAAGTACCTAATGGATATTGTGATAATGTGATATGATTAATTTGGAATTTATTATAGGTCAATTTTTTTTTTAATACCATAGATATGTATATAATTTGTCTTAAACCTAGACTGACATACCGTCTTCGCTCAGAATCGTTTTTCTTATACAATGATATTGTATCATTGAATTCAAATTTAATACCATCCATTATACAGTGACCCACTTGTAACCTACAGTACAGCAGAGCGACATCCACTTGCCCACCTTTTTTTTTTTATTAAAAACAGATCTTCCTTCAAAGACGTCCATGTTATTTTCTATTATTTTAAAATACTAGGTATTTGTTCTTAATCTGATTTTAATTTTCTACGGCTACAAAAAACAATTAGTATTTATCAGTGGTCACCGCCTGTGACGTTTCAACGAAGTTGATATAAAAAAAGTATAAAAAGTAGTAAAGACTAAAAAGCATATGAAATAAAATAAAAGATTATCAGTTTCAAATTTCATATTTGAAATCCTAGTAAGATGACATCAATTCTGATAGCACTCAAGTGATTCCCGAACCCTGATTATAGTTTAAATGCATAATATAATTGATGCGGTCGTGACCGATCAAAATAAGGAGCTTATTATATTTTTGCATTATGTTAATAGTAAATCAGTTAAAAATTACCTATAGTTGATACCTCTTTAAAAACACAAAACAGTATTGTTATAGCGTATCTATATATTTTAGTTTTTTAAGCCATGACGTTATAGGTGCCTATGTTGTAAGTTGCAATAGTTGCTTGTATTTA